AGTATGGAATTTTCTCAGAAAAATAAAAATTGACCTGCCTTTTGACCCAGCAATTCCACTGCTAGGATTATATCCTAAGAATCCTAAAACATCAATTTCAAAGAACCTATGCACCACAATGTTCATAGCAGCACAATTTACAATAGCCAAGAGTTGGAAGCCCATCAGTAAATGAATGGATCAAAAAATTGTGGTACATATACACAATGGACTTCTATGCAGCAGAGAAAAAGAAGGAACTACTACCCTTTGCAACAACATGGATGGAACTGGAAAGCATTATGCTGAGTGAAATAGGCCAGACAAATACCATATGATCTCACCTTTAACAGGAAGCTAAACAACAAAACAAACAAGCAAGCAGACAAAAAAACAAAGAGACTGAAATAGAGAACAAGGGGACAATGACCAGAGGGGAGAGGGAAGGGAATTTAAGGGGAAAAAGGGGAAGGGATTTGGAGGAACAAATAGGAAGGACACAGGGACAAGAACTAAGGGGGGTGGAAATGGGAGGGAGGTGGGGAGCACGGGGCAGGGGAGGCTGGGATGGGAGAAATAGACAAAAAACTGTACTTGAAAAATAACTAAATAAAATAAAATAAAACACACGCACAAAAATAAAACAAGATTCTAAATATAAAAAAAAAAGATCCCCCAACTTAGGCAGCACGCAGGCAGCTGAGGGCATGGATCCCAGGTGTGGGGTAGCTATGGGCAGTCTTAGGGAAGGAACGGTGTGGCTGGCTGTCTGCGGTCGCCCATTTGCATGCAGATAAACCAGTGAAGACACAGTATTGAGACAGACTGCGCAGGCCCTGGCGCAGGGCGGTGGGCTTGCACATTTGCGCTCAGATAAACAGGCGGGAGCGAGGGGTGAGGTGGACAGGGTGAGCAGAGAGGACCACCATTGCTCCCTCTCTGACCCTGCCCCCACATGCAGGGTCACAAAACAGCGACCTGGGCGGCCCTGCCTTGGTGAACACCTTAGGAGTCTCTCCTCCTACGTAACAGGTACAAACAGATCAAAACATGGCTCAAGAACAACTCAGAGCCCCAGAGCCCATAAATCTAAGCAATGAAGAAATAGCCAAACTTTCAGATGCACAGTTCAAAACACTGGTGATCAGGATGCTCACAGAACTGGTTGATTTTAGTCATAAATTAGAGGAACATATGAAGGCTAAACTAATTGAAATGAATGGAAATGCACAGGAAACCAATAGTGATGGAAAAAAAAACTGGGACTCAAATCAAGGGAGCAGACCAGAAGGAAGGAAAAAATGACCAAACAGAAAAATATGAAGAAACAAGAATTCAAAAAAATGCAGAGGCTTAGGAACCTCCAGGACATCTTTAAACACTCCAACATCCAAATTATAGGGGTACCAGAAGGGGAAGAGGAACAGTCACAAGTGGAAAGCTTGTTTGAACAAATAATAAAGGAGAACGTCCCCATTCTGGCAAAGAAAATAGATTTCCAGGAAATTCAGGAAGCTCAGAGAGTCCCAAAGAAGTTGGACCCAAGAAGGAACACACCAAGGCACATCATAATTATATTAGCCAAGATTAAAATGAAGGACAGAATCCTAGAAGCAGCAAGAGATAAGGGGACAGTCACCTACAAAGGAGTTCCCATCAGACTGTCAGCTGATTTCTCCAAAGAGACCTTACAGGCAAGAAGGGGCTGGAAAGAAGTATTCCAAGTCATGAAAGGCAAGGACCTACCGCCAAGATTTTTCTATGCAGCAAAGCTCTCATTTAGAATGGAAGGACAGATAAAGTGCTTCTCAGATAAGGTCAAGTTCAACGAATTCATCATCACCAAGTCCTTGTTATAGGAAATGTTTTTTTAGAGATATCAGTAGGCTTTTTTATTGTGATAAACTTTTAGAATATAGTTTATTGATTATGCTATTACAGTTGTTCCATTCCCCCCTTCATTCCCCTCCACCCTGCACACCCTCTCCCACCCACATTTCACTTCTTTAGTTCATGTCCATGTGTCATACTTATAAGTTCTTTAGCTTCTACATTTCCCATACTACTCTTACCCTCCCCTGGTCTATTTACTACCTACCATCTATGCTACTTATTCTCTGTACCTTTTCCCCCTCTCTCCTCCTTCCACTCCCCTGTTGCTAACCCTCCATATGATCTCCATTTCTGTGGTTCTGTTCCTGTTCTAGTTGTTTTCTTAGGTTGTTTTTGTTTTTGTTTCAGGTGTGGTTGTTAATAATTGTGAGTTTGCTGTCATTTTACTGTACATGTTTTTTATCTTCTTTTTCTTAGATAAGTTCCTTTAAGATTTCATATAATAAGGGCTTAGTGATAGTGAATTTCTTTAACTTGTCCTTATCTGAGAAGCACTTTATTTGTCTTTCCATTTTAAATGAAAGCTTTACTGGATAGAGCAATCTTAGAGGTAGGTCCTTGCCTTTCCTGACTTGGAATACTTCTTTCCAGCCCCTTCTTGCCTGTAAGGTTTCTTTTGAGAAATCAGCTGATATTCTTATGGGAACTCCTTTGTAGGTAGCTATCTCCTTTTATTTTGCTGCTTTTAAGGTTCTGTCCTCTTCAATCTTGGCTAATGTAATTATGATGTGCCTTGGTGTGTTCCTCCTTGGATCCACCTTTTCTGGGACTCTCTGAGCTTCCTGGACTTCCTAGAAGTCTATTTTCTTTGCCAGAATGGGGAAGTTCTTCTCTATTATTTGTTCAGATGAACTTGCCACCCTTTTCTCTTCCTCTTCCCCTTCTGGCACCCTTATAATTTGGATGTTGTAATATTTAAAGATATCCTGGAGGTTCCCAAGCCTTTTCTCTCTTTATTTAAAGATTTTATTTATCTTTAGAGGGGAAGGAAAGAGGGAGAGAAACATCAATGTACAGTTGCCTCTAGTGTGTCCCCTGCTGGGAACTGGCCTGCAGGGAACTGGTCTGCAAACCAGGCATGTGTCCTGACTGGCAATCGAACCCCAATCCTCTGGTTTGTAGGCCTGTGCTCAATCCACTGAGCTACACCAGCCAGGGCTTCATTTTTTTTTTTTTTTTGAATTCTTGTTTCTTTCTTCTGTTCTGTTTGGTTGTTTCTTTCTTTCTTTCTTCTGGTCTACTCCATTGATTTGAGTCCCAGTTTCCTTACCATCATTATTGGTTCCCTGTAAATTTTCCTTTATTTCACTTAGCATAGCCTTCATTTTTTCATCTAATTTGTGACCAAATTCAACCAATTCTGTGAGCATCCTGATTACCAGTGCTTTGAACTGTGCATCTAATAGGTTGGCTATCTCTTTGTTACTTAGTTGTATTATTTCTGGAGCTTTGATCTGTTCTTTCACTTGGGCCATTTTTTTTGTCTTGACACATTTGTTATGTAGTAAGGGGTGGAACCTTAGATGTTCACCAGGGTGGACATCTCAGTTGCTTAGTATGTGAGGGAGGGAGTCTGAGAGGGAACAATGGTGCTTGCTTTACTCTCTGCCAGATTTCAGTCTCTTCCCCCACTTCCCCCAAGCAAACTGGGCCCTTCTGGTTCTGATTCCCATGTGGGTGGGTTTGTGTGCATTCTAGGACCCTGTGGGTTTCTCCAATGAATGCTCTTGTGAGGCTGGGAGTCTCTCCTGGCACCTCAACCCGCACAGGTATTTTCAATCAGTGTTTTGAGGTTTTATTTTCCCTAGCTGGAACCCTGGGTGGCGCAGTCTGTCTTGCTCTCCATTTTCGCTTGGTTGATCTGCACATGAATGTGGGACCACCTGGTCTGCCAGCCACCTGTGTGCCAAGCTCCTCCACAATCCACTGCCTCTTTTGGTCCACCAGCCACTGCCTTGCGTGCCTGGGGTCTGACAGTTGCTGCTTTGCTGCAAGTCCTCTCCACCCAGCCACCTGACTTCACCTCTCCTACTGTTCTGGATGAATGTTTCTTCTTTAACTCTTGGTTGTCAGACTTTCATACAGTTAAATTTTCTGTCAGTACTAGTTGTTTTTTTGTTTCTAAATTTTTGTTGTCCTTATTTGGGTTGTGTGAGGAGGCACAATGTGTCTACCTATGCCTCCATCTTGGCTGGAAGTTTATATGAAATGTTAAAGGGCTTATCTGAGAAAAAAATATAATAAAAACTATTAACAGTAAAACCACAATGAACTCACAACTATCAACAACTGAACCTAAAATAAAAGAAAAGAAACAAAATAAGCAAACAACTAGGACAGAAACAGATTCACAGAAATAGAGATCACATGGAGGGTTATCACTGGGGGGGTAGGGAGGTGAATGGGGGAAAAGGTACAGGGAATAAGAAGCATAAATGGTAGGTACAAATTAGACAAGGAAGTTAAGAATAGTATGAGAAATGGAGAAGTCGAAGAACTTATATGTATGACTCATGGATGTGAACTAAGTTGGGCAGAATGTAGGTGGAAGTGGGTGTTTAAAGTGGAGGGGAATAAAAGGGAGAAAAAAATTATACAACTGTAATAGCATAATCAATAATTATACTTAAAAAGTAAGAATACAGAGTTGAACACAATTTTACAAAATTATTTTCTGATGCATGTTGGGTAGTAGGAAGTGCCAATTCTCTTCTGGTATGAGAAAATAGATCTTATTAATTTCTATAATGTTTAGAAATGCAAATAGTTGAATAACTATTAATATGAGAGCATTAAAGTGACCTATTTAGAAATAGAGTACAGAGTCACATTCTAAATTACTTTCACAGGAAACAGCAGCAATTTCTGAAACTCAAGTGCGTGTAAATATTTACTATATGCAACAGTAGCATAGATACATTTATATTAACACAAAATAAAAGTCCCAGGAGAAATGATCGATATTTGTGTCTATTGCTTCAATTCCATTTATTCAGTTTTCTACTCGGGACCACTTATTTTACATACGTTACTTGTTCACAGCCGATCCTTTATATATAAGGCGTGACAGCCTCCAAAAGCATCTCAGAATCTTGATGACCATTTTATCGTGGTATCTTTTCTCCTAGGATATCTGCAGAAGACCAGAATGTAAAAAACAGTCCTATCTATAAAACTGCACTCCGTCACTTCAAAATACATAAGCTTGAGATTTCAAAAGCAATAAATAAGTCATTTCCTTTCCTTGAACTCCTTCGTGACCGTGGATTCATCACCAATAAACTGTATGAAGTAAGTGAGGCTTATTAGGTCATAACTTGGTAAATGGGCACCAACAAGTTGTACTTTGATATCCTGGAATCAAATGTCACGGAACCACTAGCCATGTGAGGAGTCTCTTATAAGTGGGGCCCTTCTCACTGCTGTTAAGTGTTCCTATAAGGTAAAAAGGAAGAAGAGAAGCAGAGTATCACCAGAGACTGTTCAGCTCCTAACTGAAGAAACTGCTCCATGGTGCACCCTGGAGTCATTGAGTAGCCCTGAAAATAGGATAATCTGAAGCTGGTGGGCTCCATAGAAGTATAATGGCTTGTAGGAGTTATATATCCAATATAGCATAAACTAGGAATTAAAAGGGATTTTAATGAATGGATGAACAAGTTTAATGATTTCCTTTAATGAAATAATAATCAACACATTTCATTTCAATGAACATAATGTAAATAATTAAATCTGAGGAGATTGAAACCCACAGAGAATTTATCCAACTAAAGTCATGTCAGATAAATTTGTAAGTAGATGCTTCCTTTTTCTCCAAAGTTTTTGGTTTTTTTCCCCCTTTTTTTTTGGTATTTCTAGAGACTTAGAATTTAGGTTAATTTTAGCAAAATACATAAGTGGTGGTACAGAGATACAAATCCCTTTCCCTATGACTAGGCTTTCTCAATGGCCAAGTTCACACACACAAAAAAGAACTGTCTCTGGCTTCCTTGAGCCCTTGCAGGACAAGTGAGCCCTGGGGAGGGGACAGGGTTCTCTGCTCTATGGAACAGCAGCTCATCACCTGCTGTCTGCTCCTAAAACATTAGTCCAGATTCTTTAATGGCTACACATCATTTAACTTTGGAGCCACCTTTATTCTTCAAAATAACTTCTCCCTCCATCTAATGTAAATGAGGGTGATGAGATCAGGTTGGATTCACAGATGGATATTTTCAAGGAGGAAGGATTTACTTGATTCACTTAGTAACCATACAAATATATAGAAATTTAAAACCCTACATGAGAAAGTACCTATGTAGGGGAAATTGTAACACATTATGTACAAAATCACTTTCTATGCCTCTTCTGTAACTTAGAAGGTTGTATTTATATTTTTCTCCCTTTGATGTTCTTTAAGGATTGTCAAGAATCTCATAGAAATCTGGTCCCTTTATGGAAAGTGGTGTACAATGTTCTTAGTGAACTGGAGAAGACATTTGACATGTCACTACTGGAAGCATTGTTCAGCGAGGTCAACATGAAGGAATACCCTGATTTAACTCTCATGTGTACACGCTTTGAAAATGGTAATTAGGCTTATTATCTACCTTTTGATATTCATTGCCAATTTTTTAACATGTACATATTGGGCTCCTACCATGTGTCACATACAGTGCTGGGCAGTGAGGCTATAGCAGTTAAAAAAACAGACATATGATGGTCTTCTTAACCAGGCATCTAGACTCACAGGACAACCAGAGTCACAGTGACATCAGATTTAGTTAGGAGGACAAATGACAGGAAACATAGCATCCCAATAGGCAGCATTAGTTGCTACTCCTCTGTGGCACCCCTTGCAGTGGTCCACACAGCAGTCCACCAGGTTGACTACTACCTGCCTAAAGTGAAAGTTTAGCAGTGGGTGCAGAATCCATGTTGGCTCAGCAGCACCATGCTCAAGGGAGTCAGTGTTTCATGTAACGACTCTGTAGTCATAACTTTCAGGGAGCCCATGAGGAAAAATCAAGATACAAGATTCACCATGTTGAAGGAAGAACAAATATGTCTTACAGTTCATGTAGAGTCTCTCCCAGGCCACATGAAACTACCTATGTAGAGTCACAAGTCATTTTCACCCTAAGCAAGTGTTGGCCTAGCAACATGCAAGAGAGGCTACCTTCATCACATTTCCAGAATAATGAGTAAGAAAGTTAACTCAAGGGAAAACTTGCTTTTAAAGAAGGACATGGTTGTATTAACTTTCTCTCCACAAGGGGTGAAACAAACATTTATCAAAAAAATCCCCAAACCAATTGCTCTACCAGAAACTGTTTTTAACACTATACAAAAGTGACTGAGTTGCCACTTTTTCCTGAGACTTATAGTTTATATTTTATAATTGGTAGTCAGGAAAGGAAATGTCCTCCAATAATTTTTGTTTTAACTTTTATTGTAACACAGTTAGGTATCAACTAAGATCTCCAAATAACAATGGAGAATTCACACCAAAAATGATTGTATGAGCAGAGGAAGGCAGATGCTACAGGAAAAGTCTTAGAGTATGAAAGGGCCCCCCATGTGCTAGTAACACAAGGACAGTACGATTTCTCATGGAGTGGGTAGTAGATTGTGGGAGTTGATTCAAAGGAGATAAATTTGAAAAAGATTTTGGAAGGTATGGCATCTAAGGCCAAGATATTTGAAGTTCATTTACTGGACATTAAAAACATGCTACAAGGTTTGGCCAGATGGTGGAGTAAGTAGAAGTCACACTAACCTGCTCCCGGGACCAATCTGGAAATACAACTAAATTGTGAAGAAATTACTCAGAACGAATGACTGAACAATAAGGAGAGAGAAGCATTATAACTTCAGACAAACAGAAGAACTAGCTTCAGCACAACCCATCTGCACCTGCACAGCAGCATACAAGATGTGGTGGGTGGAGTGATCCTCTTTGGTGGGAAGGACCTACCAAAGAGTGACCCAACAATAGTCAAAACCCAGATACATCCAGAAAGCTAACATAAGTGGCATCCCAAGAGCAGAAAGTTCAGGAGATCAAGGAGACTGCACTACTGAACCTCACAGGTCTCCTACCATAGAAGTTCAAACCACAAACTCAGGGAGTCAGAACAGATCAATTTAGAAGCAGAGGCTAACAAGAAGAGTCTCACAAACAATGGGAAGACAAAGAAACAAACCCAACTGACAGAAAAGGAGGAAGCCTGAGAAAAAAATGCTAAATGAAATAGAGGCAAGTCAACTATCAGATATTAAGTTCAAAGCAATGGTTATCGGGAAGCTCAATGAGCTCACAGAGAATTACCAGAAACTACAATGAACTTACTGCAAATTATATCAACATGAAACAGGAAAGAGAAACTATCAACAAGAGCCAAGAGGAAATGAAGAATATAATTTCTGAACTGAAGAACACAGTAGAAGGAATCAAAAGGATGCTATCTGAAGCAGAGAATCAAATCAGTGAGCTAGAGGACAAAGTAGAAAAAAGTTCCAGAAAGAGCAAGAAAAGTAAAAAAGATTGAGAAAGACCAAAGAGGTGTTAAGGGAACTGCAGGACAACATGAAATGTAATAATATCCATATAATAGGGATACCAGAAGGAGAGGAAGAAGAGCAAGGGATAGAAAACCCACCTGAAAAAGTAATGGTGGAAAACTTCCCTAATTTGATGTGAGAAAAAGTCACACAAATCCAGGAAACACAGAGAGTCCCAATCAAGAGGAACCCAAAGAGGCTCACTCTAAGACAATAATAATTAAAATGGCAACATTCCAAGACCAAGAGAGAATCTTCAAGGCAGCAAGGGAAAAACAGGAAGTAAGGTAGAAAACTTCCCATACCAGGGAGCCTCGATAAGGCTAGCAGCTGACTTCTCAAAGGAAACACACAAGCCAGAAGGGAATGGCAAGAAATATTCTAAGTGATGAAAACCAAAGGCCTGCAAACAAGACTACTTTATCCAGCAAGGCTCCCAATTAAAATGGAAGGTGAAATAAGGAGTTTTCCAGACAAAAGAAGGCTGAAAGAATGCACCAGCTCTTCAAGGGATGCTAAAGGATCTGCTTTAAGAAAAGGGGGAAAAAAAGAGTCAGAGAGAGAGAGGAACACAGGTACGAAGGAAGTAAAATGGCAATGAATAAGTACCTATCAATAATAACCTTAAACGTAAATGGATTAAATGCTCCCATCAAAAGACTTAGAGTAGTTGAATGAATAAGAAAATCATGACTCACACATATGCTGCCTACAGGAGACCCAACTCAGAACAAGAGACCTACACATACTGAAAGTGAAGGGCTGGGAAAAAATATCCAAGCAAATGGACATAAAAAAAAGCTGGGGTAGCAATACCTATATCAGACAAAATAGACTTCAAAGCAAGGGCCATAAAAAGAAACACAGAAGGACACTTCATAATACTCAAGGGAAGAATACATGAAGAAGTCATAAACATTATAAACATGTATGCACCAAACATAGGAGTACCCAAAAATATAAGGAAAATATTGGAGGACTTCAAGAAAGGTATTGACAGAAACACACCTATACTAGGGGATTTTAATACCCCACTGTCAAAAATGGGTAGATCTTCCAAACAAAATATCAACGAAGATATTGCAACACTGAACAATGTCTAGATCAAATGAACTTAACTGAAATGTATATAGAACCTTTCATCTCAGAAAGCAAAATACACATTCTTTTCAAATGCACATGGAATATTTTCAAAGATATACTATATCTTTGTGTCCTATACATGATAGGACACAAAACAAGTCTCAACAAATTCAAGAAAACTGAAAGCACATCAAGAATTTTCTAAGACCAGGAAGGACTGAAACTAGAACCCAACCTGAAGGAAAAAACTCAAAAACACTCAAATTCATGGAGAGTGAATAGAATGCTATTAAACAATGAATGGGTAAAAAATTAGATTAAGGCAGAAATAAAAAAGTTTCTGGAAAGAAATGAACTCACAACAATCCAAAACTTATAGGGCACAGTAAAGGCAATCATGAGAAGGTAGTTCATAGCAATACAGGCCTACCTAAAAAAGATAGAAACATTTCAACTAAACAACCTAACCCCACATCCATAAGAACTGGAGGAACAACAACAAAGACAGACCAGAACAAGTAGAAGGAAGGAAATAACCAACATCAGAGCAGAATTAAATGACATAGATACTAAAAGAACAATTCTAAGGATCAATAAATAAAGCAGCTGGTTCTTTGAAAAGATAAATAATATCGACATGCCTTTAAGCAGACTCATCAGGAAAACAGAGAGTGGACCCAAATAAACAAAATCAGAAACAAATCAGGAGAGATTACAACTGATGCCACAGAAATACAAAGAAATAGTAAGAAATTATTATGAAAAACTATATGCCAAGAAATTTGAAAATCTAGGGGAAATGGACAAATTTCTAGAAAAATATAATCTTCCAAAACTCAATGAAGAAAAAGCAGAAAGCCTGAACAGAACAACAACAGGTGATGAAATCAGAGCAGTATTCAAAACACTCCCAGCACACAAAAGCCCTGGACCAGGTGGCTTCACAAGAGAATTTTATGAAGCATTTAAGGAAGAGCTCACCCCTATCCTTCACAGACTATTCAAAAAAATCCTAAAAGACAGAAGACACCCAAATTCTTTTTATGAAGCCAGCATCATCATAATCCCAAAACCTGATAAAGACACAACAAAGAAAGAAAACTACAGGCCAAAATTTCTGATAAACATAGATGCTAAAATCCTCAACAAAATATTGGCAAACTGCATCCAGCAATACATTAAAAGGAATAAAAAATCATACACCATGATCAGTTGGGATTCATCCCAGGGATGCAAGGATGGTACAATATTTATAAATCAATAAATGTAATACACCACATAAACAAAACAAAAGACAAAAGTCACATGATTGTATCAATAGATGCAGAATAAGCATTTGACAAGGTACAGCACCCATTTATGATAAAAACACTAAATACAGTGGGAGTTGAGGGAATATTTCTCAACATAATAAAGGCCATATATGAGAGACCTTCAGCCAGCATCATACTCAATAGGCAAAAAAATAAAAGTTTTCCCACTAAGATCAGGAACATGACATTCGCTTTCAACACTTCTATTCAACGCAGTATTGGAAGTCCTAGCTATAGAAATCAGACAAGAAGTAGAAGTAAATGGCATCCAAATTGGAAAGGGGAATCAAAAGTGCTATTGTTTGCAGATGACATGATCGTCTACATAGAAAATCCTATAGATGCCACCAAAAACATACTCAACCTAATAAGTGAATTTGGCAAAACAGTAGGGTGGATACAAAGTCAATATTCAGAAATCAAAGGCACTGTTGTATGCCAGCAATGAAATATCAGAAAGAGAAATCAGGAAAAAATCCCATTTTCTATACCAACAAGAAAAATAAAGAACCTAGGAATAAACCTAACCAAGGAGGTAAAAGACCTGTACTCAGAAAACTACACAACATCCAGGAAAGAAATTAAGGAAGACACAAAAAATGGAAGCATGTACCATGTTCATGGATTGGAAGAATCAACATCATCAAAATGTCCATACTAACCAAAGAAATTTATAGATTCAATGCAATCTCTATTTAAGTACCAATGACATATTTCACAGAATTAGAACAAACATTTCAAAAATTTATATAGAACCATAAACAATCCCAAATAGCCACTGCAATTTTGACAAAGAAGAGCAAAGTAGAAGGGCTCACAATACCTGATATCAAACTGTATTACAAGGCAACTGTAATCAAAACAGCCTGGTACTGGCATAAGAACAGACACATAGACTATTGGAACAGATTCAAAGGCCCAGAAATAAAGCAAGTCTCTATGGTCAATTAATATTTGACCAAGGAGACAGAAGAATAAAATGGAGTAAAAGTAGCCTCTTCAGCAAATGGTGTTGGGAGAACTACATGCAAAAAAAAAAAAAAGAAAAAGAAAAGAAAAAGAAAAAAGAAAGAAACTCAAGCAACATGACACCATAAAGGTCCTAGAAGAGTACATAGGCAGGAAAATCTCAGATATTCCATGAAACAATATTTTCACCAATAGGCCCCCTAGGGCAAGTGACATAAAGGAAAGAATAAACAAATGGATCTCATCAAAATAAAAAGCTTTTGCATGGCAAAAGAAAACAGCATTAAAATGAGATGAGAACCAACCATATGGGAAAACATATTTGCCAGTAATACTTTAGACAAGGTTTGATCTCCAAAATATATAAAGAACTCACAACAGTTCAAGACAAACAACTCAATTAAAATATTGGTAAAGGACTTGACACTTCTCGGAGGAAAACATACAGAGGGCCCAGGGACATCTGAAAAGATGCTCAGGATCACTAGCCATCAGAGAGATGCAAATTAAAACCACAATAAGATACCACTTCACACCAGTGCAGATGGCCATCATAAACAAATCAACAAACTACAAGTGTTGGAGAGGATGTGGAGAAAAGGGAACCCTAGTGCATTGTTGGTGGGAATGCAGACAGACTGCTGTAGCCACTGTGGAAAACAGTATGGAATTTCCTCAGAAAACTAAAAATGGAACTGCCTTTTGACCTGACAATTCCACTGTTGGGATTATACCCTAAGACCCCTGAAACACCAATCCAAAATAACCTATACACCCCAATGTTCACAGCAGTACAATTTACAATAGCCAAGTGCAGGAAGCAACCTAAGTGTCCATCAGTAAATGAATAGATTAAAAGACCATGGTACATTTACACAATGGAATTCTATGCAGCAGAAAGGAAGAAGGAGCTCCTACCCTTTGCAACAGCATGGATGGAACTGGAGAGCATATGCTAAGTGAAATAAGCCAGGCAGTGAAAGACATATATCATATGATCTCACCTATAACTGGAACCTAGTCAACAAAACAAACAAGCAAGCAAAATACAGCCAGAGACATTGAAATTAAGAGTAAACTGAGAGTAACCAGAGGGGAGGTGGGAGAGGATAATAGGGTAAAAAGGGGAAGGGTTTTCAGTAACGTCCATAAAGGACACATGGACAAAACCAAACAGGGATAAGATAAATGGTGGGAAGTGGGGATGGCTGGGGTTGGGGGGAGGGGTGGAGGGAAAATGGAGACAAGTGTACTGGAACAACAATAAAAAATGTTTTAAAAAAGAAAGAGATGCTACAGATTTATAGCTTTATAAGTACAGGTGTATTGCCCCAGTAGGTAACCCTGTCCATCTCTGGGCAATGAGGGAGCCACCAGTAACCTAGTCTCTTTCTTCTAATACACCTACCACAGGGCTTTTTCATTTATTTTGTTCCTCCCTATACTTGCTGGGTCACCTACTTACAGAGCCCCTTGGCTGGCATCCTGGCCTCTTCTCCTCGGCAGCCTCCCTAATCCCTGGTCCAGGCATCTTGGGGACATCCTTCAGCACTGCAATGTGCATTCCTTGTTTGTAGCTTCAGGGGGGGTCCTACCTTTATTCCTGAGATCTGTCCCATGCCCCAGGATGTTTTATTCTATCTGATTCCTCTGAAAAAAACTTTGTGAACTCTGGTGCATCTTTGGGAAGTGCATCCACATGACCCAATTAATCATACCTTTCTCTTGCCCAGCCAAAATTTTAAAGCTCTTGAACTTTCTCTTTTATATAGGTGGCCACTTATAGGATCTTAGTTCTATCCTGAGGAAATTCCTGATTTTTCCTTACACTTTGAAAGTGTTATATACTTTCTAAGCCATCTGTAAATGTTTTTTACATAAATAACTGGCTCACGATGTTTCCATGACTCCTTTATCCTAACATTTGAGTGGCTGCTTTGTTTGGGATACATAAGGGCTCCCTTGTTGAGTGTTCTCCTTTCTGTCCCAGGAATGATGTGGGAATTTTACTATCAGGGTGGGGACCCTGAATTTTGAGTAATTGGAAGGCTGAAAATTCCTAAATGTGCAAATTTAAGATGATACTGTGATGGAGATCTTTAATTTCTCTTCTCTCTCTCTTTAGAGATCCAGCAGAAAATTTATCACCAAGCAAGTGATGGGGAAAAGCTTGCAGAGAACCCCAACATCCAACTAAGCCTTGAACAAGGTGATTGCAAACAAAGACTGGTTATCATCTGCTAAGAGGAAAGGAGAAAGGGAGGTGGGCCCTGAGTCCTGAGATGTTTTGAGGAATCAGGGGGATAAATGCTGAGGAGCCTAGAGAAGGCAGGGAGGGGTGTTCCTATGAGAGTCTGACCAGAAAATGACCCTGGAGTAGTAGCTGTGCTGAGACCAAAGGCTCAATAACCAGGACGAAGGAACAGAAACCAGTGTGTCAGGAAACTAAATTTAAAAAGAATTGTGACCTGGAAGTGATTGTAAATTACAAGGACTCAGTAGGAGAAGATCAGTGGGAAGCTGTGATGGGCTAAGAACTGTGGGCACAAGGTCAAATATGAGAGGAAATCCTTGATAATGACAGAAGAAGGAACTGGTTTAAATGTGGCAGATGCTGTTCAAGAGTAGAAACACGGAAGGAGATGGGCAGTCACATAACGAGGGGAGAAGGGAAATGATAGATGTGCAGGAGAGGATGGTTGTATTTTGAGAGAGAGAAGGAAGGGAAATGAAAGACAAGAGAAAGGGGTAAAGAACACAATGAAACAACCATATTTAGAGCTCACTTATTGAACATTTACCCTGGCAGTTGTGGGCTTGGTGCTCACAGCTTCCCTTTGGGCCATGGTATCACTCTCTGCTCATTTGCAGAAAAGGGGACTGAGACCTAGAGAGACCATGTATGCAGGTGGCTCAGGGTCAAATGAGCAGGATGAACCCAGGCTCTCTGAACCCAGGTCCTGTGTTCTTAACCTGTACACTTAATCCTCACGGAAAGGCTGACAAGACAGTAAACACCAGTGAAGAGGGAGGGTGTGGTATGAATTGGGGTGGGGATAGGAGACATGATTTAGTGGGAAGTAAGGTAAGGCCACCATTCAAAGGCATCTCTAAGGACAAAAATAGGTTCAGTATAGCCAGGGTTGAACTGAAAAGCCATCTCCAGTGTCGAATGGCTCATTTCAGTAAGATGTCCTGACGTCGAGGATGCAGCTGATGGCCAAAGTCAGGTGGGATCCTTCAGGTCCAGATGGCCTATGTATTAATACCTGGGGTGAGGGGATCTTCAAGTCCTACTTTGTAGAGATTAAAATGGGATTAGAGGAGAATGGCACAGCCCATACTTTGATATCTGTGATAATTCATAAATAGTTCATTGAATGGCAGAAACCTGTTGAATGCTTTCAATTAACAACAGAGCTATACAGTATGTAATCCATCATGTGTAAATGTGATCCAAGCCCAAACTCTCAAGAAGCTTAAACTAATGGCCATTTGCAATCGCTTTGAGGAAACCAGGATAATCTGTGTCTACTAGTAATGGACTGTTGATGTTGGTCATGTATTTAACTAATACCTGTAGAGCATGGCCTATTTTTTCTTATGTATGTATAAAATAAAATGATTATGATAGTATGGTAGATGGCTGTTGAGGGAGTACTTTCATATCATGAATACCTCTGCAATTTCTCCATTCCATGAGGACGGCTCTGAGATATTTAATGTAGCCAAACGTAGGAAGGCAAGTGCAGAAAATTTTGACACCCATTATCTTTAATACTCAGTTAATTATATATATCCTCTTGTCTTTTAGTAATTGGTTTTGGGTAATTTTGGATACTCTGTGTCCAAATGGGGATACACTTCTTTACATAATGTTTTTCTTTAACCAATAGATTATGACAGAGACAATAGCCTGTTGTTTTACAAACTTGGAGATTTTACTTAGCAGTTTCGTATGGTTAGACTTTTTTATTTGGATAGCTCAATGAGTAGGTTAAGAGTTATCTAGATCTCCAGATGTAAGAGAGGGTGATCTGTATATTGAATTAGAGAAGATGCACAAATGAACTTTATGTTCTTTAGGTCTCATTTAAGCCTTGGCAGAGAATGTTTGTCTTTATCAAAACTACATAACAAATTCCCAAAAACTTAGTGAATGGACACAAAACCAGTTTATTGTCTCCCAGTTCTTTGGGTTGCAATCCTGGACAGGTGCAATACAGCTCTTGCTTAGTCTCACAAAGCTAAAATCAACCTGTCCACCAGCCTCTACTCTATTTGGAGATTGTGGAGGATTTATCCAAATTGTTGACAGAATCCAGATCCTTGAGGCTGTAGGACTGAGGTCCCAATTTTGGTGCTGATTGTTGGCCAGAGATTATTCTTAGCTTCTAGAGGCCACTCATTCTCCTGGGTATATGGCTCCCCACACATTCAATCCAGTGATATCCCGTAGAGTTTTTCTCAATTCTTCTTAATCTTTGAATCTCTGGCATTCAATTAGGACACGAGGTAGAGAAAACTCTCTACTTTTAAAGGGCTTATATAATTAGATTAGGCTCACCAAGATAATATTTCTTTAAAAATTTAATTTAGCCCTGGCTCGTGTGGCCGAGTGGACTGAGTCCTGGCCTAAGAATAAAAAATTTAATTTAGTTTAATTATATTTTATTTTTTGATGCTTATTACATTCTCTTTTAGTCCTTTCAGTTTTATTGAGATATAACCGAGACATAACACTGTGTAATTCTAAGGTGTGTAGCACAATGGCTAAACTTACATATATTATAGAGTGATATCTACAATAAATTGAGTTAACATCCATCATCTCATATAGACACTGAAAAAAAAAGGAAAAGTTTTTTTCTTGTGATGAGATGTTTTGGATTCACTCTCTTAGCAAACATATTGTACAGCAGTGTTAACTACAGTCATCATGTTTTATATTGCATTTCTAGCACTTATTTATCTTATAACTGGAAGTTTTTACCTTTTCACGGCCTTCTTTCAATTCTTACCTGCTACCCCACATTCACCACTTCTGGTAACAAAAAATCTGACCTCTTTTCCTATGAGTTTTACCTTTTGGCAGTTTTGTTTTTTTGAGACTCCACATTTAAGTGAGGTCGTACAGTACTTGTCTTTCTCTGACTTATTTCACTTAGTTTAATGCCTTTAAGGTTCATCCTGCTCTCAAAATGGCATGATTTTTATTTTTCTCTCTGTCTGAAATGCATTTCAGTGTGTGGGTACATATATGTGTGTGAGTATCACATTTTCTTTAAACATATATTTGTTGATGGACACATAAGTTTTTTCTATTTGTTGGCTGTTGTAAACAATGCTTTGCTGAACAAGGGCGTGCTTCATCTCCTCGACATAGCTATTTTGTTTCCTTTGGAAAAATGTATCACATGGTGGTTCTATTTTTAATTTTTCGAGGAACTGCTTTACTGTATTCTACAGTGGCTCCACCAACTTACAATCCCACATACAGTCCTCAATGGTTCCCTTTTATCCATATCCTCACCAGCATTGTTTATCCCTTGTTTTGATAACCTCTTTATCTTAACATCACTTCTGCATTAGAACATAACCTAAAAATCGGGGGATATTTCATGATATTTACAGTCCCTGGTGGTCAGAAAGGAAATCTGAGAGGGTCATTTCAGAATTCTGCCTACCACAATGAGGTTTAAGTAAATTCCTAGAAAATAACTGTTCTAATGAGCTATTGACTTTTCCCAAAAAATAATATAGGCTATCCTTATCAACTGAGCATAAATGTACTAAAGATTTGGTTATACATATGTACTAAATGGGTTAGGTACTACAAGAAAGTGAGGGATTCCTGTTTTGTTTATTATCTTATAGATCTTGACTTATGCGTATTGTAGGTATACTAATGTTCAAAATAACTGTAAGTTGATCATGTGTAAAACAATTTTCCAGGAATTCTAAATTATTTTTTCTGAGAACATTGAATCTGTTCACTTCATTTGCATAATAGATCTCTATTGATTTAATACATAAGGGGGTTTAAAAGCAAGCAAAGCGAAGGAAAGGAAATGAAAGAAAGAAGTTGTTTTTTAGATAATGGTCTGAAAGTAACATTTCAAGTGATTGGGACACAGAAACTTTTAGATGTTTTACTCTCTTCTTTTATAGAAATATTATCAAATGTATGGTTTACTTTGATGTGTCACAAGGTCCCCATTGAATCCCAGAGTCATCATCTGTGAAGCTTCGTGATATATTAAGATATGTGCTATAGTTAGGATTGCAGTGAGAGCACAAAGAGGAAGTGGAGTTCTGCCAGTGGGAGACCGCAGCTTTGGCAAAGGCAGGTTCATGACAAAAAGTGAAGAGGCCACAACATTTAGTCATAAGTGTGAATGGTGTCCTGCATGTGAATGGAGCATGGAGTTCATATGCCAAGCAGAAACTAAAAAGGGGAAATGTGATCAATTACATGGTAATAACTGACCCCAGGTTATATACTAAAAAATGCCTTTCTTTCTCAAATTGACAAGATATCAAGTGTCTCCATGAAGTTTTTGGAGTGGAATTCAAGACTAAGTGTGATCAAATATCTTTGCACAAATGGGCTATTGTCTGATGGACGTAAATTCATTATAATCTTTTGGACTAGTTTGGATATGGGACTTACCTCCTTCCATTTGCTTTGGATCACTTTCTTCTAACATTCAAGAAACACAGGAAAATCAGGAAGAAGCACACATGAGCTGGGATGTTTTATGATAGATAAGAGAGTGAGAGTAATTGAGGTAGTAAAATAAGCACATTCACAGAATATTTGCTAGATGCTGCACCTCCTAAGACAATGTCTAACTATTTTATACCTAACTCCAAACATATATTTAAATGATAAGATAAATTCAAGAATAAGAACTCATGAAACATGCCAAAGCTCAAGTAGTTGTTAAGACAGTTCACTTGGCAGTGGATCAGGAAGATAACCTGAAGTGGGTACAAGAGGCTGGAAAATTATCCCTGTTGGTCCAACGGTCCCACAGGACACTCCAGCAAGTCTTCAAGATGATCTCGGTGGGAACTCCATTTTAAAGGGATAGCCGGTATGCAATACCTGAAGCTAGAAGCAGGATCCATTGCTCACTAAGCAAGGTGCATGGTGGGAGGAGACAGTGTAATTACTGGGCACAATTTAGAAAAAAACCCATAAACTTCTGACTTTGTAAAGAGTTTTGGGAAGTATGTGTTTCAGGGACTGCAGACTTTCAGAGACAGGAATGATTCTGAACAGGTTAAATTTAGTCATAGATGCAGGCTTTCTAGAATGTGGTGGTTGCTGATTGGCTGGTTTTCAGAAATGTACAGCTGCAACTGATTAGCTGGCTTTAAATGTGGTTGGAGATGTAAATAGGCATTAGCCAACTGGGATGAGTTTAAACGTGATCTCATACTTACTTTTATAATTTTCAAGGAACAGTTAGTTTCTCTTCTGGAAAAACACAATTTTTAAATTTTATCCTCATGGCTACAAATAGGAAAAAAAAGTAGAGGAAGTAGAATTGGGTGCAAACAATGAGTATTACATGCCTCTGTCAGAGCCCAGGCGGGATTATTGGAGCAGGTATACTTTTTCCCAGGATGCAGTTCACCTTAGCTCAGAATATCAGTGTGCCACACAGGAGCACCGGGAATTCTTCCCCAGTCACTGTCTCAGGATTCATGGACAGTAAGTTTCTTGTTTTTCTTTAGTTTCTTGTGAACTAGAAGCTCCCCAAATGGGTAGAGAAGGAGAATCTGAAGAGCTTACCTGTAGCCTATTATCCTGTGATGAACAAGTTAAGCATGTCTTAAAGAAACAGAATTAAGATAAAGAGAAAAGACAAAAGCAGAAAAAAGGACAATTGAAGGAAGACTCATATATAGAGAGGGTTAATATTATATTTCAGAGGAAGAAGTAGCAAAACAAAATCACAAGGGTACCAAAAATAGGGTCACTGGGCATATAATAAGACTTTTCATAAATTATGATTTTGCCCAGAATCAGAGCCACCAGCACATGCACATGGAAGTGAGAAGTGTTCCTGCGTTATGTGCTTCTCAAAAGATGTGCCAGGTCTGGAGCCAAGGACTGAAAAGAGTCGAGGTAAGATGCTGCATGAGGGTCATGGCATGAGGGCGGGTCCATAGTTACCCAGGACCCCAGGTGGAGTGTGACCGGCAGTCTAGCCATTCCACTATGCTGTTCTCTGCCTTTTTCTTGATGTGGCCTTTTTGGGAGGAGCAAGGTGTTAAGAGATCATCATATTTAAAGTCATGTTTAGCAGGACGGGCCCTGTTAATTATACATGGATGGTATAGTGGAAATACACTCTTAAATGGCAATATCTAGTTTGCTACATTGCTGTATTAGTAATAGCACACCTTGAACTTATGCAGTCATTTCCATGGGTGTCACACCCAATAATCTATGGAACCCAAGAAAACAAGGTGTACTTCTGCTAGTAAATGTGTCATTTTTTCACATCCTTACCAAGACCTTACAGACAACTGATCCTGCCACTTAATTGTCAGGAGGGGAGACTTCCATCAACTGCTCTTAACCCAGAATGTATACATTTGGTGGATGTCCTCCACATGTCACAGATTTATGTAGTATTTTCCTACAGACTTTTTGCCATATGATGTTATTTAATTCTCACAAAAAATTTAAAACCTAGACATGGTAGGGCGCTTGTTCCTATCGTAAGTGAATTGAATTATGTAGGTATTGAGCTTCTTTTTAAACCTTCATTGAGTTAAAAACAAAAAAATGAAGACCCAGGCTTCATCCTGGACTTCTCAATTCAGGAGATTTTTAGTTACTTCAAAAGGAAGAGAAAATTGATAACAAAACAACTTTATAAACTCACTCCTATAGTATGAATCATCCTAGGACTGGTAACTTTTAGCTATTAATTTCTGTTTCTTTACATCTACCTCTTTTTCTAGATAATGCAGGTCTTGGAAACAACTCTACTTTGGGAAAACTCAAGAGAAAAAGAAGTAAGAGTATATAAATTTTACTTGTTTTTTGATGTTAAAATGAGGTTACTAATGCCTGTGTTTTATTATAATAATAAGTGAAATAATATGATGGTCCCACAAAAAATATCCATATTCTAATCACTGGAACATATAATGCATTTTTTCCAGGGCAAAAGGGATTTCACAGATATAATAAAGCTAGGGATTTGAAAGGAGGGGGTTTATTTTAGACATCTGTGTGCCACCAGTATAACCAATTGGCATTAAAAACTGGAGAACAGTTTCTGGCTGTGGAGAGAGGGAGAAGTGACTGTGGGAGATACATAGAAATACAAAATTGGTGGCTTTGAAGATGGAGAAAATGAACAAAGATATGGGTGAACTGTAGAATTTGGAAAAGTTACGAAAATAGCTTCTCCTCTACAGTCTCCAGGAAGGAATAAAGGCCTACATAAACCTTCGTTTTAGTGCAGATAGAAACTTGAGACTCTTGAGAAAGAAACAAAGTTGGAAGTATAATGTGCCTTCTATAGCGGTATAAAAGCTGATTTAAAACTGTACTACAAAGATATAGTAATCAAACCAGCATGGTACTAGCACCAAAACTGACACATAGATTAATGGAACAGCATAGAGATTCCAGGAATAAACATACATGTTTAAAAAAAATTCAAAAAAGGTAATTTCCTATAGTCTCCCACATCCACACACAGTAAAATATAACTATAATCAACCTCACACTTCTACACTGTCAGTTATAAGCTGGGACATCAAACAAAGCTGATCTATATGTACTAATGATTTGTTTATATAAGAAAATACAGCAATTGAGTTAGGCACTAAAGAGAAGTAAGGTATCCCTATTGTGTTTATTAGCAAAGATATTGATTTATGCATACTGAAATTATACTAATATTTAGATTAACTATAAATTAATCATGTATAAAGGAATTTTTCCAGGAATTCTAAAGTTATTTCTTCTTTAGAATGTTAATTCTGTTCATTTCATTTGCAATCTGGTTTTTTTCATTGTTTTTCAATTATAGTTGTCCCCATTTCCCTCCCATTACTCTCCCTTCCCCTACTTACCCCCATATTCCACATTCAATCCTCCACCCCCATTGTCTTTGTCTATGGGTCCTTTATACATGTTCCTTGATGAACCAACCCTTCTTTCCTCTGTTTTCCCCTTTCCTTCTCCCTCTGGTCACTGTTGGTTTGTTCTTTATTTCCATGTCTCTGGTTCTATTTTGCTTGCTTGTTTGTTTGTTTTCTCGTTACTTATAGGTGAGATCTCGTGGTGTTTGTCTTTCACTGCCTGGCTTATTTCACTTAGCATAATGCTCTCCAGTTGCATCCATGCTGTCAACTGTGTAAATGTACCATAGTTTTTTGATACACTTATTTACTAGTGGGCACTTATGTTCTTCCCAGTACTTGGCAATTGTAATTTGCACTGCCATAAACATAGGAGTACATAGGTTCTTTTGAACTGGTGTTTCAGGATTTTCAGTGTATAATCACAGCACTGGAATTGCTGGGTCAAAATACAGTTACTTTTTTTTTACTTTTCTTTTTAAAAACTTCTATATATATTTCATTAATTGTGTTAAAGGGTACAGTGGTCCCATTTTCTGCATTTTATTCCCCTCAACCCTGTATACTCCTCCCACCCACATTCCCCCCTGCCTATAGTTCCTGTCCATGGGTCATACATATAAGTTCTTTGGCTTCTACATCCTATACTATTCTTAACCTCCTCCTGTCTATTTTCTACCTGCCATTTATGCTACTTATTCCCTATAACTTTTTACCTGTAACTCCACCTCCACCTCCCCTGCTGCTAACCCTCATTGTGATCTCTATTTCTGTGATTCTGTTCCTGTTTTAGTTGTTTGTTCAGTTTGTTTGTGGTTTTTTTTTAGGTTCAGTTGTTGATAGTTGCGAGTTTGTTGTCATTATACTGTTTATAGTTTTAATAATCTTTTTCTTAGATAAGTCCCTTTAAGATTTCATGTAATAAGGGCTTGGTGATGATGAACTTCTTGAACTTGACCTTACCTGGGAAGCACTTTATCTGCCCTTTCATCCTAAATGAGAGCTTTGCTGGATAGAGTAATCTTGGGTGTATGTCCTTGCTTTTAATGACTTTGAATATTTCTTTCCAGCCCTTTCTTGCCTGCGAGGTTTCTTTTGAGAAATCAGCTGATGACAGTCTAATGGGAACCTCTTTATAAGTGACTCTCTCCTATTTTCTTGCTGCTTTTAAGATTCTCTCTTTCTCCTTCTCTTTAATCTTGGGTAATGTAATTATGATGTGCCTTGGTGTGTGCTTCCTTGGGTTCAACTTGCTTGGGACTCTTTGAGCTTCCTGGACTTCCTGGAAGTCTATTTCCTTTGTTAGATTGGGGAAGTTCTTTTTCCTTATATTTTCAAATAAATTTTCAATTTCTTGCTCTTCCTCTTCTCCTTCTGGCACCTCTATGATTCAGATGTTGGAACGTTTAAAGTTGGCCCAGAGGTTTCTAAGCCTCTCCTCATTTTTTTGAATTCTTGTTTCTTATTCTGTTCTGGTTGACTGTTTATTTCTTCCTTCTGCTCCAAATCATTGATTTGAGTCCTGGTTTCCTTCCTGTCACTATTAGGTCTCTGTACATTTTTCTTTATTTCACTTTTCATAGCCTTCACTTTTTTCTCTATTTTGTGATCATACTCAACCATTTCTGTGAGCATTCTGATCAACAGTGTTTTGAACTATGTGGCTGATAGGCTGGCTATCTATTCTTTGCTTAGTTGTATTTTTTTTCTGGAGCTTTGATCTGTTCTTTCATTTGGATCTTTTTTTTTTTTTTTTTGGCCTGAGCACACCTGTTACATAGCAAGGGGTAGAGCCTTAGTCATTCCCTAGGGTGGGGCTGCCCAGGTTGCAGCATTGTGTTCCTGCCATTGTATGTGGGGGGAGGGGGCCCAAGAGGGAACAATGCCACTTGTTCAGCTCTCTGCTGGCTTTCAGTCACTTCACCTGCTACCCATAAGCAAATTGGGCTCTTCTGGTGATGGTTCCCAAGTGGGTGGGTTTGTGCATGTTTTAATATCCTGTGGGTCTCTCCAATGAACTCTCCTGTGAGGCTGGGAGTTTCTCCTGCCACCTCAATCCTCATAAGTTTTTCAGAGGTTTTGAGGCTTTATTTCCCTGCACTGGAACCCTGGGTTGCTCAGTCTGTCTTGCTTCCCAGTTGTTCCTCCCAGTTTATCTGCAGATGTGGGACTGCCTGCTCTGCCAGCCGCCACCTCACCTGGTCTGCCTGCTGTGCCTTGCCCACCCTCATCCTCCACTCCCTGCCTTTCCCTGAGTCCTCTCCACCCGGATGCCTGTGTCAGCTCCTCCTCCCAGTTGTGAAGAATATTTCTTCTTTAACTCCTTGGTTGTCGGACTTCCATACAGTCTGATTTTCTGTCAGTTCTGGTTGTTTTTTTGTTTTTAAATTTATTGTTGTCCTTCTTTTGGTCATGCAAGGAGGCACAGTGTATCTACCTATGCCTCCATTTACCTGGAAGTCCTGTTTATAGTAATTTGCTATAATCCTTTGTATCTCTGTGGTATCATTTGTAATCTCTTCTTTCATTTCTTATTTTGTTTATTTGGGTCCCCTCTTTTTTTTTTTTTCTGGATGAGTCTACTTAAAGGTTTGTTGATTTTGTTTATCTTTTCAAAGAACCAGATCCTGGATTTATTGATCCTTACAATTGTGCTTTTAGTCTCCATGCCATTTAATTCTTCTCTGATCTTGGTTATTTCTTTCCTTCTAGTCCCTCTGGGCTTTGTTTTTTGTTGTTCCTCCAGTTCATGTAGTTATAGTGTTAGGTTTATTATTTGAAATGTTTCTATCTTTTTTAGATAGGCCTGTATCCCCATGAACTTCCTTTTCAAAACTGCTTTTGCTCTGTGCCATTGCTTTTGGGCTGTTGTGGGTTGATTTTCATTTGTTTCCAGAAACTTTTTTATTTCTTCTTTGATCTTATAATTAACCTATTCATTATTTAATAGCATGCTATTCAATCTCCATGAGTTTGAGTGTTTTTGAGTTTTTTCCTTCAGGTTGGGTTCTAGTTTCAGCCCCTTGTGGCCTGAGAAAATGCTCAATGTGATTTCAGTTTTCTTGAATTTGTTGAGTCCCATTATGGTTTTGTTTCCCATTATGGGGTCTATCTTTGAAAATGTTCCATGTGCATTTGAAAAAAAATGTATACTTTGCTTCTTTGGGATGAAAGGCTCTATATATGTATCAGTTAAGTCCAGTTGATCTAGGGCATTGTTCAATGCCACAATATCCTTGTTGATATTTTGTTTGTAAGATCTATCCATTTTTGACAATTGGGTGTTAAAATCCCCTAGTATAATTGTGTTGTAGTCTATCTCCTTCTTGAAGTCCTCTGAGGTTTTCCTTATAGACTTGGGTGCCTCTATGTTGAGTTCATATGTTTACAATGTTTATGTCTTCTCGATGGATTCTTTCCTTGACTATTATGAAGTATCCTTCGGTGTCTCTTTTTATGGCTTTTGTTTTGAAGTCTATTTCGTTTGATATATGTATTGCTACTCCAGCTTTTTTTCCCTGTTCCTTTGTGGAATATTTTTTCCTAGTCCTTCACTTTCAGTCAGTGTAGGTCTTCTTTCTGAAGTGGATCTCCTGTAGGCAGCATATGTGTGGGTCATGTTTTCTTACCCATTTAGTTACCCTAGGTCTTTTGATTGGAGCACTTAACCTATTTAAATTTACAGTTATTATTGATATGTACTTATTTATTTTTTCCTCCTTTGTACCTGCATTCCCCTCTCTTTCACTCTTTCTTCATCTTCTTAAAGCAGTCTCTTTAGCACATCTTGCAGTACTGATTTGGTGGAGGTATATTCTTTTAGCTTACTTTTGTCTGGGAAACTCCTTATTTTGCCTTTCATTTTAATTGAGAGCCTTGCTGGATAAAGTAATTAGTTGCAGACCTCTGGTTTTCATTAC